AACCCCTCAGCTTCCCTCCCATCTACTATCTGTCCTTTGTATCGAGTTTATTTCTATTCTGTTTGTTAATTTAGGTTCCACATATAAGTGAAATCATATGGTATTTGTATGTCTCTGTCCGACTTATTTCAGTTAGCGCAATACCCTCTACGGCCATCCATGTTGTCACAAATGGGATGCTTTCATTCTTTTTATGGCCAAGTATTATGTCACAGTATATATGAACCACAGCTTTTTCATTCACTTGTCTATTGATGGGCACCTGGGTTGCTTCCATAGCTTGGCAATTGTAAATAATGCAGCAATGAATGTAGGGGTGCATATATCTTTTCAAATTAGTGTTTGGGATTTATTTGGGTAAGTACCCAGAAGTGGGACTTCTAGGTCATATGGTAGATCTACTTTTAATTTTTTGAGGAACCTCCGTACTGGTTCTCATCCACCAATTTGAATTCCACCAACAGTGCAAGGTGGTTCTCTTTTCTCCGCATCCTCACCATCACTTGATGAAACCCAAGGTGTTTTAGATATCACTCAGTTATCAAACTTTTTCCTACTTCATAAATCCAGCCAATTGGTATACATCTAACCTTTCATGAAAGGCACTTTAGTCTATGAGTTGAAAAAATGTCATAATAAATGTATACATTGCCCATCTTCAAAATTAACAAAAGTGTAATAAATATACAAAGAAATAGCAAAAATGTCTCTATTGTGGATGGTGTCCTTTGAAACGTGCCACTCCTGGGCAGTGCACACCCAGACCCATCATATATAGCCGTGTAGGCAGCGTCAGGGAAACGTAGTGGCAGAGCGGCCAGGTGCGCCTTTTGAGAAATACTGTTTGATAATATTGATAACAAAGAGCAGAGAACTTGGAGGCCTCACTTCAAAGACCTGTACTGACATTTATGCGGTGTGAACATGAGCAATATTCTCTGAACTTTGAGGTTTTAGAAAAACAATTCTCATGTGGGTTTGAACATAAATTAGGTAACTGCCAGGGATGTGGAGGAGAGAGGAACCAAAGAAGGTCTTCAGGGAACTTCCTGCGCCCCAGGCTTTCCAAAGTCCTCCTGGACGGTTGACGCTAGTTTTTTCAGTGAGAAGATACGTGGCAAAGTGGTTCTTCTGACAGTTTGCCAGAAAGTGCTCTGTCCCCTTGGAATAGAAGAATATTAACGTTGATTGGTTAGTTAATTCCTCCAAATTTTTTCTAAAATATTAAGCTATTTTAAGCTTGCAAATTTACAGCTGGAAGATCGTTTCACCAAGGCCATGAAGGATGACATGTAAAACAAATCTTTTTCACTAGTTGAGGAAATACAGAGTAAAACTCGAATTTAAAGTCAAATAAACCGAAGGGGTTAAGCAACAAATAAATAAATAAAATGAAAAACAACAGAAAAGTAAAGAAAGCAAAATCCTGTAAGCCCAGAAAATATGTATTATGGATACTTTTCAGAAATTTATATTTATTCAGCTGACATAGTTTTAAAGTATTCAATTTTTGATAAGAATTATGCTCTTGAAAAGAACAATCTGTAATTTACTTTAAGAGTGAAACTGAAGGTCCTTGAGTTGGTTATTCTCCATAAAGCAAGGTTTCAGTGGTTCTCTAAGTGTAGTCTATAGTAAAGTTATAAAATGGATCATATTTATTTCAGGTATAAAAATCTATTAGAACCAGTCATGTATATGGGGAAATAAAATAAAATGGACTTTAAAAAAATAAATGTCTGTTAATTTATGAAGATCTTGGGACGTGACATCAACGCATTGTCTGACAGCTGGCCGTGTTGGCACATTAGAACAAAAGAGGGAGAAGGGATGTGTTCCAGGATGAACTGATAAAACTAAAATCATTAAAGAACTACCCTTTTCTTTAAGAGCTCAAACAGAGATCAGCAAAAACAACTGAAGCAAGTCCAAGCAAGGGTAGGGAGTCGCTTTAAAATCCCTTCATTGCTCTGTCAGTTATGACAGCAGTAGATTTGGGTGGCCTATATTTCACCAAAGAATCTGCCGCCACATGGCTAAAGTACTTGTTTGCAGTCTTTGGCAGCATTTCACTCAGTTGCTTAGGGAAATATTTCAATCAAACATAGTCTTTTAAAACCATCTGTAGGCAACTAAAATGTCATAGGAATGGTTTCAGTGACAGGTTTCTAAATATAAGTAAAAAATCCCAAAGTTGTTATCATATTAAAAATTTTCTTATGAGAAACATGTGTATTTGCAAGATGAACAAATAAACAAGAAAGCCCCAAAATAAAAGCCCAGGGCCAGAAGAGATATGGTTCCTCATTGCCTCCCAGAGCTACTTAGGAAGCATTTTTATCTCGTCTCAGCATGCTTATTTAACATATATCTCAGCATCCAACTTTAGAAATATATTTCAGGATAAAATTTAATGGTATAGCAGAAAGAACTGGAAACTCTGGTTTAAGCTGGATATGCCCAGGACTTTCTGTTCTCAAACTGCAAAATATGTTTGCTTTCCTCTATGGGTACCTCAGACTAAATTTGTCCCAAATTGAACTTTTTTTTTTTTCCCCTCCACTGCTTTACCTCCTTGCTACCTTTCAGGCCTCAGCAGGCTTCCAGCCTGGTTGGTAACCTCAGACCCCAGTTGACTGCACCTCGAAATCTTCCCACTCCTACCATCACCACCTCCATTCTCACCTGTCCTTGCTCTCACCTGGCCTGTGACAGCCCCTTCCGGCAGGCCACCTTGTCTCCTGCCTGTCTCCTGCAATGTATCCCCTGTGACCTTCCTTTGGGTCAGCATTTGTAATGTCGTTCTTCAAAAATTTGGCCGGAGGAAGAGTTCCTATACCCATGGTCCAAACTCAGCCTGGCATCTAATTAGGAACATCCCGCTTCCATAAAGAAGTAGTTATAGGAGGTGTACTAGGTCATACAGCTGGTAGCTTCCTGTCTTTGTTATTATAAAGAAAAATAGAAGCCTGTACTGAGGCAGTGTGGATCATAATCTATTGCCCACACATGTGGTTTTATGAGAAACCTGGTCTGGAACATGCATTGTGCGTTTTTACTTCCCTCGCTCGCTTAAACGGCCACCCAACCCAGGGTTCCATCTACTGCCAGCCTGCACGTTTTACCATCCCAGAGCAGGTAGCCCAAACTGTAGTCCCTTCCAGGGTCCAGCTCAGATGAATGTCCACTCTCAGGGTCCTCTCCCTCAACTCTCAAAGGACACATCACCACATGCTGCCTTGAAGAGTCGCTTGGCTCATGTCTTAACATCCCAGAAAGTTCTAAGGCTTCTGGGTAGGGGTCAGGCGAAGCACTTTTTCTGCTCCTACGTACCACAACAGTACATTGCTTTCACAGAGAGAAAAATGTTTAACACGGATTACAATTTTTCTGTATTGTGTGCATGTTTTTTTTTCAGCTTTCTTGAGGTATAACTGACAAATGAAATTGTAAGATATTTAAAATGTGCAGAGTGATGATTTGATATACATTGTGGAAGGATTCCTTCCATCCAGTTAATTAACATACCCATCATCAACACTGATTTTTAAAGACTGCAAATTAGACTTTATAAAATTGAATTCTAAAACAATTGGATGTAGACTTAGTAGAAAAGGGATGTTCTCAGGACGGTTCTCTTCCAGGTGCCTAGAGGTTTCGTCAGCGGTTGTGTTTTCTCTGGGAGTGTCATTTCACTGACAACTTAGCAAACGTGTAATGATTCTGCTGCAAGGAAAAATTGCAACCGGAAAACAGGTTTACTACAAAACTATACTATTAAGAGGAGGTTTATGAAAGTCTTAGTTTCCACTAAGGGCTATGTTTTTGTTTTGTTTTGTTTTTTTTTTTGTTTTAGAGTTGCTTCAAGTGAAAGCATGGAGGCTTGGCTATGTGGCAATGTTGCTGTAAAATCAAAAGCCATTGTCAAGGCCAAGAAATTCTCAGACACAGTAATAGACACAAGGAGACGACTGGATGGAATCAAGAGAAGCTGCTGTTTGTCTGATTTTGAACTGTACAAAGGTCTACCAAGGGCCTTAAAATAAGGTGAATGTGGGTTCCATTTTTAGCTTCTGCTACAAATTGTGGGGCTATTCACCTTCTCTGCTCTTTAGTGTCACGGTCTGGGGTCTGACTCTTCCTTTGCCTCTGACGAGCTGTAGACCCTTGGACCATTTATTTTATTTCCCTATGATGGGTAACACGTCTTAAAAATGTCTAATGCTAACATCCACTTCATGATCTTGTTTTATGTAATGAGGTCATACACGGGAAGCACTCACTTAGAGCAGCACTGAAAAGAACACACGGGTTTCACAATTGGAAGCCATGGGTGTTACTGACAGTTCCCTGCAGGGATGAGAAAGTTGAAAGATGCTCACCGGGACAAGCTGCACAATTGGTGGAGCCCGAACGCGATGAAGTGTGCGGGCTCCGTTCAGAGATCGGGAAGAATTTCAAGCCTGGGCCAGCGGCGCAGGAAGCCACCGCGGGGACGGGGACCCTCGTGCGACCGCAGAGGCTGCGCGCCCGCGAAGCTGGCTCGGGAGCTGGAAGCGGAAGCGTCTCCGCACATGAAGTGCTCCAGAGATGCTCGTTCACCTTTGCGTCAACGGGCTTCTACCCCTCGCGCGTCACCACTGTTAACACTGAGTCCTGGCTGTCACCTGGCCCCCAGCACTAGGAGAAGGTCTGCAGTTACTCCCGCGGTGGAATTCTCGTGGTAGACCTGCCTCCAGCCCCAGTGTCCCCGTGTCTTTGGCAAGGGTCCGTCGCTCAACCAAGCCTCGGCCTGGCCAAACGGGGCCCCCCAAAGCGAGGAGACAGCCTCCGGAGGATCGGGGTCGCCCCCGGAATGTCTCAGAGGCGGAAGGCGGCCGGCCTCGCCGCCGCCCACGGTGTTTACCGGTTGCCCCAGGAGACGCGCTGGCAGGCTCCGGGAGCAGCAGCCTCGCTCTCCGCGCTCCGGACCCGAGTGCGCGGCGCGGGGCTCTGGCAGCATGAGCCGCCGCGCCCCCTCCGGCCGCCCCAGGCGCCTGAACTCCACCAGCGGCGCCCCGTCGCCCGCGCCCGAGGTACGGTCCCAGCCCGCGGGCTGCGCGCGGGGATGGCGGGGCCGCCTCTGCTAACGCGGGGAGAGCACCCGGCGTGGAGGCCCCGGTGCGCAAACTTCTCTGGAACGCAGGGTTGTGGGAGGTGGGGGGCGGGTCAGCGTCGGTGTGTTCTTCCCTGGAAATGGACTGCAATTGTCAGGTACCAGTTCACCCTGGGAAATCAGAGGCTGGTCCTGACTTTGTGGAGTGCGTCTGAATTCTAGGTTGTACCAACTTGCTTCTCTGACCATTTATTTGAACTGGTTAACAGGGCGTCCGCCTCCTATAAACCCTCCCCAAACCCTCTGCCTCCCCCCACCAACCCCCTTCATAGCAAATAATTCTTTCATTTAACTTACACTACTTAGCTACTAAGACATGATTTAGAGCAGTTTCCTTAACATCTGATGGGGTTGGGTTAATGCCAGTCCTAAGCAAAGTCTCTGGCCTTTTGTTGTTGTTGCTAATCTCCCCAGACACATTAATTAAGTTGCCATTGGATTCGCTTACTCATTTACTCTTAGGAGGGCACCAGGTACGTTGTAACGTGCGCGCGCACGCACGGGCACATAGGAGTTCGGGCTGGCTCTGGTATCAGGATCCCACCGAGTAGAGAGTGTGTCAGGGCTGGTTGCTAGAGCCCCGGAATGTGTTCAGCTGAATTTCCAGCCTGAGAGATGTTCCCACAGTAACCACAAAAATCTCTGGGGCAACTCTTAGGTTCAAAGGATCGGGTGGGTCCTCCGCTATGCTACAGCACGTCTAGAATTCAGCTGCTTTGATTGTTGCCTCACTTACCTCTGACCCCGTGGTGCCTTACATCTGACCTATATTCACATTTCTCTGATTCCTGGCATGTTTGTGGTCTTGTACAAATAAAACTAATTTTTCTTCCATTTGACATTTGCATATTTTATCCCAATATGGTGTCCTCTTGTAAACGAAGAATGTTAGCCCATACATAGGTATGTAGTATTTTATATTATTTATATTTGTTTGGAGAAGCAATTGAAAGTAAATAACAGACATTATGGCCCTTTAGCCCTAAATCGTGTGTATCTCTTAAGAACAAGGGCATTCTCTAACCAACATATAATGATCAAATTCAGGATGTTTAACACTGTTGCAATAATATTATGTCATGTACACCACCTACTAAAATTTGCCAATTGACCCAATAATGCCATTTACTGCAAAATTTTTTTCATTTCAGGATCACACATTGTATTTAGTTATGTATCTTTAGTCTCTGTAAACCTGGAACAGTCAGTCCCTCAGATGTTCTTTGTTTTAGGTGAAACTGTTAGTTTTTTACAGAGCCTGGGTCATTTGTTTTGTAGAATAGGTTTATCTGATTGTTTTTCATGATTAGATTTTGGTAGAATGCTTTGTGAGTGATGTGTCTCAATGCTTCACACCAGGCAGTACATAATATTTTTTGTGCCACTACAGATGATGTTTCTAATTGGTAGTATCTGCCAGAGTTTTCCAATGCAAATGTGGAAAAAATAAGTTTTAGCAATGAATAAGTGATCATTTTGAGTGACCTTATTGATTCATATTGAAATTTTTTTAGGATAAATTTTACTGACTACATAAAAGAAAATATCCATCACACCCAAGATTTTGATCGAACTGAAAGATCTAAATTTTATTGAGAATAAAAGTAGAAGCAGAAAGACCAGCATTTATTACAATTTATTTTTCAGTTAAGAAAATACTTCATCAGAGAGTCTTGTAAGCCAGGGAGGCAAGATGGGAGTTCCCCATTATGTAGACAATGAAATGGCTTGCTTAATTAGCTAATGATGGAGAGGGGACTTAAATATCTTTCTTTTGAAAGGTTAGTACTTTTCCTACTGCACCATCATGCACTGAAAAGCAGATGAAGATACAGAACGGGGATAGTATGTAACTACATGAAGAAGTAGGGTACTGCAGGGACTGAAGGGCTTATTCTTGGATTCAAGCAGTCCTAGTGATACCACTTATTCTCTGTGATACCTTGGGCAAAAAAAATTAAAGAATAAAAAATAGTCCTTAATGTTTCAGAACTTTAGTTTGTTCTGAAAAAATGAGGTCATAATATGTATCACGTAAAGTAGTTTTGGGACTTCGCAGTTAAATTGTAAAGCACTCAACAGAGTGACAGTAAGTGCTTATTTAGCTGTTACGTATTGTTCTTTATAACTTTTGGAACTTGCCACCAACGCCACTACGCCCCACAACCATTGCCATCACCGACCCCTCCTTTGATACCTCAGCCGTCACCCCAACAGTCAGTTGTTGAGGGTCTATGAGAGGGGCTGGGGATGTAAAAAAGAATTTGACACAGTCTCTGCTGTCAATGAAGAATTGCCAAAAAAATAACAACTACCACGAGACACAGATAACAGTGTGGGGATAGCCAGAGGGAAAGGAGGCTGGGGGCCAAGCGGAGGTGGGCAAAGGCGGGAGGAATGGGGGCAGAAAGAAACTTTGCTTGCGGCGATGGGGCACTATGCTGTGTGCAGAGGACATGTTGCTGAGTTGTGCACTTGCAACCTGTCTGGTTTTGCGAACCGATGTCACCCCAATACATTCAATTAAAAAAAAAAGAGTTCGCAATCAAGAGTAACAGACACATGAACAAATGACTATTTCATTGGTATCACCCATGAACTGAATTTAATGCTGCATTTTTCTCAAGTTAGGTTTACCTCTAATCAAATCATCAGCCGAGTTTTACTAGGCTAGAACATCTGATGAGCAGCGCTGAGAGCAATAGTGTGTGAACTGAAGGAGATCTGCTCAAGTGCAGAGGACAGAAACGTGCTTTGGGGAAATGTACAAATATAGCTTTCAGCAGAACAGTATAGCTTGGCCATGAAATAAGGTATGGAAGCTGAAAAAGTTTGCCAAATTATATAGAGCTATATCGTTGGTCAGCCAAAAGCTCTGGCAGGCATTTCGTGAGAAGGGCTTGGATTGGGTGTCAGAAGCTGCAGATGTGCGGTGGCTTGCCCGCTATGTCAGCATTTTCACACACCTGGAAGATCTGAACCAGAGCGATGGCTCAGTGTGCACCATGTGGGGAATTTGAGCACGTTCCTTTCCTTTCTGTAAAACATGCGTTCATTAGAAGGACTGTTTGCCGGAGTTGTTCTGAGAAGCAAATGTAAATAGCAACAGCCTATCAACAGCTATAGTTCCTCAAAGCAAAGGACTTAGCCGGTCATGTATAATTATAAAGGAAGTACATTTGGTTTTCCCTTTATGTCGCCACCATTTTAACTTTTTAACAAATTGTGATAAAATATACATAACATAAAATTTACTGTCTTAACCATATTTGGGTGGCATTTAGGACATGCACAGTATTGTGCAACCATTGCCACCATCCATCTCTAGAACTTTCCATCTTGGAAAACTGACTCTTTGTACCACTAAAAATTAACTGCCCCTTACCCCACTCCCTGGCCCCTGGCAACCACCATTCTATTTTCTGTCTCTGAATTTGACACTAGGTAGAATCATACAGTATTTGTTTTTTGTGACTGGCTTATTTCACTTAGCATGATGTCCTCAAGGTTCATCCATGTCGTAGCGTGTGTCAGAATTTCTTCCCTTTTTAATGACCAAAAGAAATCTGATTAACTACAGTAATGTTGTATAAAATACTTTTAAGGCAAAAAAACCCCCATTAGTACAGATAAAGTCACTGTAATGATACAAATTATATTTCTATTTCACAAAAATTTTTATTTATAAGGAAGTTGTAATTCTAAATGTGTATGCATGTAAAAAGATAGCCTCAAAATATATAAAATAAAAATTGACAGAAGCAAAAATCTGTAAGGAGATATAGACAAATTCACAACTAGAGTAAAATATTTTTTAAATACACTTCTGTTAACATCTGATAACCAGATGATAATATGTCAAGGGAGGCATTAAGAGAGCTAAAGATACAAACTTGGCTAAGCAATTGTGAAGAAGAAGAAAAGTACATGAAATGTTTGTAATATGACTGTAAAAGTTAACAGGATGACTTTTCCCCTTTACCCAAGGGGATAAATACCTTTAGACCATGAACTAATCAACTGGACAAAATCCTAGAAACTGTTCTCTATTGATAGGAATTGAATTAGTAAAGAGATTAGATGTTTTCCCCTTGTTTTAAATAACAAAGGGCTTCATACTACCCCAAATAAATGACAACCATCAGATCGGGAGAGAAAACATTAGACAAACCCACCTTGATGGATTTTCTACAAACTAACTCTGCAGAAGGGCTAGTTGTAGATTGGAAGAGACTCAGGTAGGAGACAGGACAGCTAAGCACGATGTGGGTGTCTGGATGGACGCCTGGATCAGGGAAAGGACACTAATGGCAGACTGGGGGGAGCTGAGTAAGCGCTGTGGGTTGCAGTATTGTACCAATGTGACTTTCCTGGTTTTAAGAAATGCACCTCAATTATGCAAGTTACTGGCATTAGGGGAGGCTGGGTAAAGGGTGAAAGGGTATACAGATACTCTCTGTTCTAATTTTGCAACTTTTCTCTGTGTAAAATGATTTATAATAAAAATTTCAAAAGATAAATAACCAGCTAATGTATTTGCACTCCAGTCTTATTTAACTACAACAGTCCCTAATTATTCCTGGACCATCCGGCTCCAGAATGCAGCGTGTGAGAAAGCATTCAGAGAACAGGTAGAAGGAGAGAATTTTTTGAACACCAACCAGAGAGCAAGTTTTCCTTTTTTTTTAAAAAAAAAAAAACCAAAACCAAAAACCTTCCTCTTTAACCAAGGCTTTTAACATGAAACAGATTTCTTGAATAAAATGGAAAGTTTTCAATACATTGAAACGTAAATCACCATACATATAACACCTAGCAGGAAAAAAAAACACCCCAGAACAAGTTTACACAGTCCCTGTAACAGCCACGGTCTTATTCTTAGATGCTTCCTCCATCTGCCGAATGTGTCCTGCTGGCCAC